TGTAGAAAGCCAGAGGGCCCAGCTTGGCGGTCTCCACAGCGCAGTGAAAAACACCCTGCCGAACACAGAGCGGAATGGTCCAGGCTACCGCTCTCCTCGCTGAGGATAGTTGTGGGAGGGCGGCGAGGGTGGAAGGCCAAGGTCAACCCCCGTCCCACTGTCTGACCAGAGCAGAGCTCTGTGTGCGGCTGCTGCGGGGCAGGCCGCGACAAGGGAGGCAGGGTCCCAGAGCAGCGCCACTGCAGGCCTGGGGAAGGGCGCACTGGTCTCATCTCACCCTGGAGACCCAGGCTTCACGGCCGGTTTAGTAAGTGCATGGAATCCGATTAAGACAACCGGCCGAGGCCGCTGGAGGCTCCTTCCCGTGCCGCCTCTCACCTGGTACTCGCCCTTGGAGTTCATAAGCCGGGTCTTGAGCACGTCCAGCGGCTGGCACAGGAAGGTGGCACACCCGCCCTGCAGGGGAGGGGCTCTTCACCAACCGGCCTGAGCCCCGCCGCCCCACAGCTGCCAAGCACCCCTCAGCCCCACGCTGGGTCGGGCCCAAGCTGAGCACTCACCGCGATGAAGCTGGCCACAAAGTGAGTGAAGATGTTGTCGCCGAGGTAACCCGTGCTGAGGACCAGCTGCTTGGCCTGGTCATAGCAGGACAGCTGGGGCGAGGGGAGGGACAGTCAGGCCCGTGGAGGGGCCCCAGGGGAAGTCGGCCAGGTGGCCAATGATCCCCCGAGGTCACAGCTGAGCAGCAGGGCAGGCCTTGGAGCAGGAGGTGGCCCCCAGGAGGGGCTCTCAGTGCCCCTGGTCCCTCCCCACTGCCCTCCTCTGTGGTTGAGGATGACACTTCACGGAGCCCTACCTGGCCTACGGTGACGAGGGCCCCACGGCTGGAGGCCATGGTGGCACCGGAGAACAACTTCCTGAGACCCTCTGAGGAGCAAGGGGGAGGTCGGGTATGGGTCTCCAGCCTCACCCAGCCCCAAGCCCAGCACTCCCCATGCCTCCTCCCAGGACCCTTGTCCCAGGCACCCCCTTTCCACCTGCAAAGGGCAGCTCCTCTCACCTTCACGGGCCACACGGTACAGTCCATCCAGTGCGTGAGCATAACTGATGGGACAGAACGGACCCCATGAGCATTCTCCCCCGAGCACAGCACCCCCACCCCTCCGGCGCACATCTGAGAGACCTGCCTCGGGGGGTGACCAGCAAGCGAGAAGGTCTACAAGTCCCTGGAGGACCGCCACAGCCAAGACTCCCCATTGCAGCCCCCCGTCCACCAAGGCCCGTCCCACAATGACGGTCCTGAAAGGGACAGGTGACCACCCTAGTGGCTGCAAAACAGGTGCAGAGCACCAGCCAAAGGCCGTCAGGTCAGCACCACCACTGTCCCGTGAGACCCCACACGCCAGAGAGCCCACAATCCCCCGATCCCAGCTAGCTCTGGGAGGGCAGTGTGGGGTCTGCCTGGCCCAGGGCTCCCGCTGCGGGGCAGTGATGCCCTGAGAGGCTGGGATCCCAGGGTCGCCAGATGCACCCAGGGTGGGGCTGGGCCATACTCACTTCCGCCGCTGGCTCAGAGGCAGCTTCATGTCATTCTGCATCCTGCAAGAGACCCCGGGGCTCAGCGGTGGGGGCAAGGACCAGGGGAAACCTCGGGCTCAGGAGGCGGGTTCAGTCGGGGAGATGAACGGGACCCCCAAGGCTCCCCTAGGCACAGGATAGGACACACCCAGGCATCAGAACCCTGGTGACCACTGCTGGGTTCAGTGGGACCCTGCCCCCATGCCCAGGACTCCAGGGTCCCATGCAGAGCTTTCAAAGCCCATGGGCACCAAAAAGCTGGCCACACCCAGACCCAGGACGGGCCCCACACAAGCCTGATGTGGGGGCAGAATGACCCTGACCCTCTGGACCATGAACTGACCTGACGTTGACCATATCCGCGGGGGTCCCCACAAAGCCACCGGTGAAGCCTGCGGTGATACAACCCCCAAAGCCAAATGTGATATGCAATGCCCGGCGGCCCCGCGCCCCCCCGGTGCCCCTCCCCTCAGCTGCTCACCGCCAATGGCTCCCAGCAGCACCTTCTGGTGGAAGGGCATTGGGCCCTGGCTGCCCTTGCTCAGGTGGTCACGCACGGTCTCATAAATGGCGAAGCGTGTCAGAGAGTACGTCATCTGTGGGTGCGGCAGCCTCAGAGGCGGCCGGGGGAGCCCGGTCCCAGAGCCCTCAGCTCTCCTCACCCAGCCCCACCGGGCACCATTACCATCTCACTCACAAAGAGGACGCTGGGGGTTGGGAAGCCCATCACCACACCCCACCCCATGCCTTCCCCCTGAGCTCCCTGGGTCCCCACTATGAGTCCCCCAAAGTCCTCACCTGAGCCCCGCACCCTGATGCCTACATTGTATGATGGCTCCGCTCCCACTCGAGGAGCCGAGTCCCCACTCGAGCCGCGTATGCCCCCCCGTACCTGTCTGCAGAGGGAGGCACTGAGGCCGCTGTAAAGCGCCAGGATGCCATCGGAGCGCACCACCTGCAGGGCCATGCCCGTCATGCGCAGCTTCACCTCCTGCTGCGTCTGCAGGTGCACCTGCGGGGGGGGGCATCCGCTCAGAGCCACGCCCCCAGCCCAGCCTCCCGGTGCCCACGGCTGGCACGGGGACACAGTGCAGACCCCATTTAAGATGGGGAAACTGAGGCTTGGGAGGTGCTGAGGCCTCTCAAGGGCACTGGTTCAGGGGTGGGGCTGGGGTCATTACTATAGTAACGACTGCTGGCATGTGAGTGGGGAGGGGAGGTGAGACCCCCAGGCCCGTGAGATGCACACACACGTCCCAGGGAGGGCTGTGGCTCCTCTTTGACGGAGGAGGAATTGAAGGTCGAGGAGCGAAGCACCCCGTGAACCCCACAGGACCACCCCAGACCCCCTTCTTAACCACCACCACCTCTCGAGAGGGGCCCAGCTCGGCCCAGGCTGCAGGATGGATGCTTGGGGTGAGCACAGAGGTGGGGGCAGGCGGGGGGCTGCCAGCCACAACCCCTGACCCTGGGTCGGTCCCAGCTCACTGGCCAGGTGCCCCAGCAGGGAAATGCCATGAGGAGGTCAGAGATCTAAGGGCGGCAGCCAGGCTGGTATCTCAGCTCCTGGCCCCCACCTTGGCCTCAGGGCAGCCTGCCCCACAGCCCTGTCTCCCTGGGCACCCGTGGCTGGACAGCACCTAACTCCCCTGTCCTTCTCCGGGTGTGCTGTAAGGAGTAAGGAGATCAGTGGGGCCCAGGAGCCCAGCCTCTGCCCTGAACTCTCCTCACTTCCCTGGGGGCAGGGATACTGGTGGAGACAGCCTTCCAGGCCCCCAGAGGAACTGCCTGGGAGTGGGGGAGCAGCCCATGCATGAGGCCAGGAAGGCTCCGTGCAGCCACCACCAGGAGCACCGACGGGTGGCAGGGTGTTGAGGGGCCATGGTTGTCCTGATCTGGGGCCAGCAGTGCAGGGCACTGGGCCCAGAGGCAGGGTGGCTATGCAGGAAGCAGCCACCATCTGGCTCAGGGGTGGCCAAGCAGACGGAGCCAGGACGCAGGCAGAGTGCAGAGAGCTCTTTAAACAGTCCCGGGGAGAGGCTGAGTGAGCTGGGGCCAGAGGGAAGCCCGCCCCACCTCACCCGCCCCAGGTCTGTCCCCAGGGCGCCCTGCAGCTGACCCTGACCCCCCTTCCCCAGCACCTGGGGGCGGGGCGGGGCGGGGCTTTGGACAGTGGACAACAGTGAGTCCTGCGCACAGCTGGTCAGCACCGAGGTCTACATGTGAGCCCTGCCACCCTGGCAGAGCTGCTAGGCTGACCCTCCAGGGCCTCAGGGGCTGCCACGTGGGGCGCCCCAGAGGCTCCTCCCTCAGAAGAAAGGCACCTTCTTCGCCTCCTTCCAGGCCAGCCCAGCTCCCTCCAGGCCCCGCCCCTCCTGGCCCCCAGCTCAGCAGGGATCTCCCCAACACCTAAGTGTAGGACCTGCTGCACCCTGCCTTTTCTTGGTGGCTGGCCTGTTTTACCAACTAGAAAAGCTAAGCCCCTCCCTTCAGGGAGAAGCTGAGTGGTTCTGACTCCCGGTGACCCATGTACATCAGGGTGGGGCTGTACTCCACCAGGTTCATCACCGGGCCTGTCTTATAAGGCCCCTCAGGGGTATTTGAACCTCTAGCCTCTCAGTCTACAGTGAAACCATCGGGGTCTCCACAGGATGAAGGCTGCGACGCAGAGGCTCTCGGGCAGGGGCCAGGCCTGGGTCAGTTCCAGGTCAGGCCGTGCTAACAGGAAGAGTCCCGGTGCTGGGAGGCCTGGCCATGGGGCCAGTCCCTCCCAGGAGCCCTGCCCACAGGCCCTCACTGACCACAAGCCCAGGGTGGAGGAGTAGGGACTCCCTGCCGGACTTTGCTCTGTTTTAAAACCCCAGGCCTTTTTTTGTTCTTTGTGGTGAAAAGGGCTGGAAAACAAACTCTGAGGGTTGGGCTGGGTGACAAGGGAAGGTCTGTCTGATTCTGTCACGTGTGCATAAAAAAAGGATGAACTCGGCTCCTTCAGAAACGCCCACCCTTCAGTGGCCAGTCTCACCTGGGGTGCTCTGGTCTAACGCCCCTGGTGGGGTCCACCCACACCCACTTCAGCCTTCACCAGAATGGTGGGCTTTGGCCTTCACCCCTGCTCAGGGAAACCAGCACAAGGCCCAGGGACACCCCACTCCCTCTCCCAGAGGGTGTGTTCAGTATCCATGGGGATCAGGTAGTCACACCCTGACCCCTACACACACTCGTGTACACACGCACGCACACGCGCGCGCATGCACACACACATGTGCCAGTGTTCCCATGGGGATCAGGTAGTCACACCCTGACCCTTACACACACACTGACCCCTACACACACATGCGCGCCTGTGCCAGTATTCACCCAGAGAGAGTTCTCGTATCCAGAGACCAGGAGCCCAACGTCACACACACACAGCTATTGGGGTGTACACCTGACATGCACAGCTGGGGGCTGCACTGTCCGGAGCGTGGGCTTGGCTGCCCCTTGCCTCAGTGACTGGAGGCTCCGATATTCCCTCACCCCGGAAGGGCAGACTCTGGGGTCCCCAGCCCCTCCCTGCAACGGCTTGGGGTATCTCCTGAGGAGCCTGCGATGCGGCGCCCCGGAGCCCCCGCCTATAGGACCCAAGTCCTCGTGCACAGAGGAGGACGCGGGCCCAGGCTGGCGCCGGTCGGTGCAGGAGAGCGTGGGAGGTCCTGGGCCGCCCTTTAATCGCCGGTGCGGCCCGCCTGGGCGGGTAGGGCTGCGGCCGCGGGGAGCGCCCCAGGCCGCGTCCCGGTCCGGCCCCTGGCTGCGACCGGAGGAGCAGCCCCAGCCTCCGGCCTCACCTTGAGCAGGTCCAGCGGGTGCGTGCAGCAGGCGGCCCCGCAGGAGGCCAGACCCCCGAAGTACCAGCGCGACACGCGGGCCTCGGCTGCCATGGCCAGGACGCGGCGGACACCGGCCCGGTCCCTTCCGGGTGTTGGGTACCCGGTGCTCGGTGCCGGCCTCCGGCTGCTCGGCAGCTGCCGCCCGCTCCACGCCGCGTTCAAAGCGCAGCCTGTGCGCCCGCGCGGGCCAGGGGGTGGGACCTTCCGAGACCCCGCCCCGAGATCTGGGCGGGGCCCGCGCCTTAAAGCGGCCGCGGCCCGGGGCAGTGCTAGGTGGGCTCTACCGTGTGGGGTCTCCACCGTGCCTGGGGATCCTGCAGCCCTTGGACCGGCCGCGCCCCCGCAGACACCACCAACTGCAGGCAGCCTGCTGGGGGGTGGGTCACTCCATGTCCTCCAGGAACCTGGCGTCCCCTGCCCACTCCCACGCCGGTAGCACCTCTTCCAAGGTCACCGCCAGGGAACAGCCCCCGGACTCCCGGGCGTCCGCGCCCTGCAGCGCCACCCTCCTGGAGTCCTGCCCTCCGGGCCCTGGCTGGTGTCCCTATGCTGCAGGGAGGCAGCCGTAGTGGGAGGTCCTGTGTCCACATGTCTACAAACGGCCCTGTCCTGTACATGTCTGCCCCTGACTGAGAAACTCAAGAGTCTGGAATGAAAGCTGGGAGCGGAAGGCAATGTGGAAAGACTACCTTGCCATGGACGTCCGGCCTGCCCACACTGAACCCAGCAGCCACCTGGACCAGGCCCCCAGAGCTTGAGGCTGCTTGGATGGTGGGGTCAGACCTCCCAAAGTGGGCTTTGCTGGATCAGCCTGGCCTGCTAGAGCCCACACTGAGCCCCCAGCGAGGGGTATCCTGCCAGCTCCAGGCTCTGCTAATCCCGTCCACGCCAAGATGGGGGCAGGGAAATGGAGTTCCGGCCGTACAGTAGGACAAACTGACAGATGAGTGGTGGCGTGTTCCGGCTAGCACACACAAGCCACGTAAGGCCGACATTGTTTATAAGAACCAGCGAGTTCAGGCAGGAGAGTGGTCTCTGCCGCACCAAAGTTCCTGAGCGGCTGAGGGCAGTACTCTGTCCACGCCAATGATGTGTCACAGAAGGCCACGCTATCCTGTGGCCAGGCCACGCCAAGTGAACCAGGCTCATAACTACAGGGCCACTAAGTTCCCAGGGAGTCTGTCCGACCCCCAGGAAGAGGGCCAGGCCAGGGGCTGCGGTATATCCCTCACGTAAGTCACCAGCCAGGCAGAGGCCCTGCTGCCGGCTGTCCAGAGCCCAGGGTGGGAACCGCAGAGAACATGACAGCAACTGAAGAGCAGCCCAGAGCCAGCCCCCAGCCCCGGGCAGATGAACTCTGAGTCAGACCACGGAAATGTCTGTGGGAGATGTAGCGTTCTTCAGGGAAAACAGAATGACCTGTAAAGTCAAGATGCCTCGCTGATTCCACAGTGGGTCCACAGAGACGTGTGACCCCAAGGGAAAGAAGGGGTGCCCAGGAGAGGGCAGGTTAGAGGCCACAGGGCCCATGTCCTGGGGGCACGGAGTGGGGCAGGTCAAGGGGACCACTGCAGTTAGGGTGAGAGGAGCTAGAAGCCAAGTGGGGAGACCTGGCCAAGGGTGTCCAGGGATGCCACCTGCATAGTCAGGTGGGTCAGGCAGACACAGACTGCCAGAGCCCAGCAATGGCCCAAGGTGGGTGCTTGCTCCCAGAGGTGCTTAGCCTGTGAAGAGGTGACCCAATTTCCTCAAAGGTCTCCGGGTCACCCCAGTTCCAAGTTGCTGCTCCAGGTGGGAGTCCCACTGAGCCACTCCCCTCATACTGATGACAGCTGCAGGGAGCCAACAAACCCGCCAGCCCCCTAGTCCCCTGAGGAGCCAGGGCCAGCTGGCTCTGTCCCCAGAGCAGCCCCTCCCAGACAGGCTGAGGGGCGGGGCCTTCTAGATGAGCCTTCAGATGGTGGTGCTGTCCTACTGCCACCAGGCAGGCTCCCTGGTCCCTAGCACCGTGGCAGCCCTGTGGCCAGCGGGACAGCCGACACTCCCAACCACCGCAGGATGGAGGAGCACCCCTGCCACGTGCACGATGCAGGCCTGCCTCCCCAAGGGCCCGGGCGGGGCTTCACTGTTGGCCTCATTGGGCAGGTAGCTGCGGGTCCCGTTTGTTAACAAAAAAACCCAAACTCACTGCCATTGAGTCAATTACAACCCATAGCGACCCCCTATGGGGGTGGTAAATCTCTATGGAAGCAGATTGCCCAGTCTTCCTTCCGCAGAGCGGATGGGGGGTTTGAACTGCCAGCCTTCTGGTTAGCAGTCAGATGAGATGCCTTGGGCACTGCGCCACCAGGCGCCTTTGTTAACAGGGAGGCGTCAAACGTCCCCACTCCTGCATACAAGCCGCTCCTGTGCACTCCAATGTCTGCAGATCCCCGGAGCCCCCGTGGGGCTGGCACCCAGGCCACCCCACCGGGCAGTGAACCCTAACACTGCTTGCACATGCTCAGTGAGCCCATCAACACTGCTTGCACATGCTCAGTGAGCCCATCAACACTGCTTGCACACGCTCAGTGAACCCATCAACACTGCTTGCACATGCCGTCTCTCAACAGTGTATTTCTCCACCAGCACAGAGGAGCCACTCGGTGACTTGAGGTCCTTGAGTCTGTCTCCCTGGTGTCCTCACGGACAGTGGCCGTTCCACCCCCACAGGTCCGCTCCTCCCTCCCAATCAGAGGCTGGCTGGCATCCGGTGCCTGGAGTCCTCGCTGCGACCCCAGGGCCCCCGCTTCGCCAGGTGCCAGGCGAGCCTCGCGGGGCCTCAGCCACTGCACAGTCCTCAGAGCCGGGCTACTCCAGCACCACGGTGCCGCCCACCGCTTCTAGGGCCACCTTGATCTTCTCAGCCTCCGCTTTGGCGACGTTGGCTCTGATCTCCTGGGGCAAGGACTCCACCAGCTTCTTGGCCTGTGGGAGGGCCCGTAAGACACATGCAGGCGGCACGGGGCCTGTCCCACCCAGCCCGCCCAAGCCTCACCTGCACCAGGTTGATGCCCTGGACGTAGTTCTTGATCTCCTTAATGAGCTTCACCTTGTCCACTGGCTTCGCCTCTGTCAGACGGACGGTGAAGTGGGTCTGCTCCTTCTGCCTGGGGACCTCTTCCTCTTCGGCCTCCTTGGGAGCGGGTGCAGGGGGGACAGTGAGGGGCGAGGCAGATCCCATGGCCACCCAGGGCTGGGCCGGCCTAGCCGAAGCTCTGCCTCGGAGCTGCAATCCCGCGGACCCACAGCACCAGGCAGGCCCAGGAGCTGGGGGTGGACGCCAGCTAGTACCTCCCAGCACCAGCCCGTGCTCCATGTCCTCCTCACTGCTGCTCAGTGTTTGTTTCAAGCCACCCTACCACCGGGGGCCCTCCATAGAGGCTGCTCTCCGACACACCCCACTTCTCTCCCCCTCAGGGATCCTGACAGGTGAGGCGGGGAGAGTGGCCTGGCTTGTGGGATGGGGACCTCGAGCCATCCCTGCCTGCTCTGGCAGTCTAATCAGTGAGCCAGTCACCCCACCTTGACTGCCACCTTCTCCCCAGTTAGGCCATGCTCCCGAGGTGACGTGAGAACAGTGCCACCATGACCTCATTGCTCAGGACAGTCCTGGCTTGGGCCTGCTGCCAACGATGCTAAGAGAAGCCCCCATTCTGTGAGCAGGTATGTCCAGACGGGGGAGTGTGCCTGTGACCTCGTACAGGGTTAGCAGACAACGTTTCTTCATGTGTATTTGTATGTGCTACAACAATTTCCAGGTGTATAGTAGAGCTGACAAGCGATAAGGTTGTGGTGGCTTTCTGGCCACAGTCAGCTACCCGGAGGGAGCAAGTAGTTGGACCTTTGGGCTCGGGACCATGGCTGTAGGGAACATCAAGCTCAACTGGCGTAACATACTACACAAAACATTGTTCCACATGCTACTTTGGCAACTAGCAACTGGGGTCTTAAAAGCTTGCAAGTGGCCATATAGATGCAACGATGGGTCTCTCTTCATCCAGAGCAGAAAATAATGAAGAAAACCAAAGATGCGTGGAAACGATTAGTTCAGGGGACTCATGGACCATGTGATCCTCAGCCTATATGACCACGAGACCGAAGAACTAAAGGGACCTGGCTACCACCGTCAACCACTGGAAGGGGATGTGTGCAGAAGATCCTGGGCAGAGTGGAAGAACAACGTGGAACGAACCTCAAAATCATAAAAAAAACCCCCAAAACTCAAGACCAGACTTACTGGTCTGATAGAGCCTGGTGGAACCCTGAGACTATAACCCCTAGCAACCCTTCAGGTCTGGAACTGAAGTCACTGTTGTGGCTTCCAGCCAAATAACAGACAGGCATATGGGATGAACGTTTACGTTAGGTAGATACACTCCTTGGAGAGATCAATCATGGGAGAACAGAAGGGCAGTGTCTGCACAGGGAGACAGCTCAGGGGGCAGGAGTGCATGGAGGGAAGGACACAGGGAAGAGCTAACTACGGGGAGGAAGTGGGAAGACACCTGTTACATTGTGGGGAATCGCAGTCAATGTTGTGAGACAAAATGTGTATGAACTGCTGTATGGAAAGTGAATTTGCTGTGTAAACTTTCACCCAAATCACAATAAAAATTGAAAAATAAAGAATACCTCCCACCCTGGACTGTTCCAGCTCGGGCTCTTTTCCAAGGTGCTCAGGGGGTGGTGGTGAGGGGCGGACGATTCCATGAGACCACACCTCATGGAAGCATCAGACTTTTCAGACCTGTGCCCCTGAGGGACTCCTGACCCCAGCAGTGATGGTTTGGGGGAGGGGAGGAATCCCATTAAAGAAGCTTAAGAGAGTCTACAGTCAAATGCACCCTGCAGGCCCTGTTTAGACTTGGATAGACAGACCGATAAGATGACAATCGGAGATGTTTTTATGACAGACGTTTTAAAAAAAGCAAAATGAATGCGAGGCCACAGTCAGCTGGCTTTGCTACAGACACCCAAGCTGCCTCAGTGCCCGCCTGCCAGGCCCCGTCCTCCTGCGGCCTCCCTGGCCTCACCCTCCCGCCAGGTGCCCGGCAGCCTCCTCTCCCGCCCGGTCTTGCTGTGCCGGCCCAGCGGCCGACATGCTCTCGCCTAGTGCCGTGTGCATGCTGCACCTTCTGCAGGCATGCTGTGCCCCTCCCGACTCCTTCAGCCTCCGCGCAAAAGTCACGGCCTCCTCAAGCCCTTCCTTGAAATCACAGTCCCCCCATCTGAAGCGTCTTCCTTCCTTTTTCCCATCACCCATAACAACGTTCTGATATTCAATCTAATAATCTTTTTCCGGTCTCTTCCGGCTTGTCATCTGTTCTCCCCGGCTCTCCTTGTGGGCAAGGACTCCAACAAGCGGGCAGCAGGAAGCGTGCCCAGACTGCAGAGATTGAAGCTGGCTAGCTGCATGACCCCAGGTTTCTGCCCAGGCTCACCTCAGACGCTGCGGGGGCGGTGGCGGCAGGGGTAGCCCCTGGCATCACACCTGCTGGCATCAGTCCGACGTCTTGGATCTTCAGTGTTTTCTGCAGGAAGGAGGGGGCTGAATCAATGGCTGGCGGCCACACACTTGCTGAGTGCGGCAACCCTTCGCCAGCAGCCCGGCAGGCTCTCCCCACCTTCAGCAGCTCGTTGAGCTCGCAGATCTCCAGGAGCGTGAGGCTGGCGATGTCCCGCACCAGCTGCTGGATCTTGGGGGGGTACTCCTTGGGCGCGTTATCCAGCGGCGCGCTGGCGAGCGCCTCGGCCCTCCTGGGACTGCTCCTCATGTGCCGGGCAGCACAGATGGCAGGCACCTGTTGCCTAACCCCCCATGCAAACGGAGCCCGTCAGGCCTGGCCCAGGTAAGGGGCCGGTGCAGGGAGCTGCGGCACAGGTGGGTACCAGGGGCGCAGGTCCACGCACCTGTGAATCACCCAGCCCCCTGGTCCCATCCAAGCTTCCTGACCTCAGGGGGCCCCACAGGTAACAAGAGCGTTTCCGAGGGCCTTTAAATGCTTCCAAAGGCGCTAGGAATACACGACACTATCTGCGGTTTCTAATGTTAAGTGTCTTGTTTGAACGGCTGCAGCGACCCGGTGGGGTTAAGTCAATGCCCGACGTCCGCTGCAGCAACGCCTTTACAGTCGCGGGCCCGTGGCAGCAGAGTGCCTGGCTGCGGATGGGAGTCCTTCGCGCCATTTTGCTGAGGAGGAAACCGAGGCCCGAGACGCGCAGTGACTCGGCCAAGGTCACCGGGGCAGTCCGGGGCGACCCCGGATCCGCAGCCTCGCGGTTCCCGGCTTTCTCCGCGGCAGTGGGTTGGCACCGGACGGCCCCTGCCTTCTCCACGCCCCCGAAGGTCCTGCCGAGGTTCGGTCTAGGCGGCCTGCGGGAGTGCTCGCTCGCCGCCCAGCTTGCCCGGGACCAGAGCCCCTCGGTGCCCGGCTGCCCGGGCCCTGGCCACGCGCCGCACCCACCCGGCCAGCCATCCCGACCCTCGGTGCCCCGGCGCGCCAACAGCTGCTCTGCGGCCCACGGTACCTGGTGAGGCAGAGCGCGGCGCCACACAGCCCGAGACACAGCCCCCGCAGGGGGCGAGCGGCCACCGGCAGCATCTGTGCACGGGCTGGAAGGTCACACGCGGCTCCACGGAGTAGGACGCTCTAGCCGCCGCGCCGCGGAGCATGCGAGCTGGGGCGTGACGCTCTAGCCCGCCTCCCGCTCCACTCCTCTCGAGCGCCGAGGTTACATATTGGGCGGTCGGGCCCACGACGCTGGGCGTGTTCGGCGTCTGCGCACCGGCTAGACCTGCCCCCTCGGAACAAAGGATCCGGAAGAGGCGCGCAGAGTCCCTCCGCTGTTGTGGGGATCACTCAGGAGGCTTGCTAGAGTGGGAATCCACGCGCCGGCAATGTTTTTTTTTTAAAGTGAAGCTTCTTCCCAAAGCCTCTTAATGTCCCCCTAGTCACATCCCCGGGGTACTGATAGGCTTTCGTTAGTGGCATTTGCATTGCCACCGGTTGCTGAAAATGACCCTAATACTCGCTTCCTGTCCAGGTCCGAAATGATGCAAGCGGCAGGCCTCCGTTTGTCGTCAGAGAAAGCCTCGTGTCACGGTGCTTTGCGAGTGGCGCTGCATGCGCTCCCGTGTCCCCAAGAAAGTTCTTAAGGCTTTCCAGTTTCCTTCTCTACCTTTCAGCCGTCTTTAACTGAACCTTTCCGAGTGTTGGAATAGTAACCCTCTTTGGCTCCGTGAGTGACGCGCAACCTCAAGCCCCCAGGACCAAGCCCGCACTTCTGGGGTGCGTGGGCTGCGGCAGCGGGGCTGAGGGCGCCCCCTGGCGACAGTCCTTACTAAGGGCTCCAGGGAAGAGCTCCTGGGTATTCCCTGCCCTCAGTCGTTCCCGGATAGTCAGTCTACAGCACCCAGCTCCGCCCCCTTCCTGTCCCCCGGCGCCTCTGCTATTTACCATTTGCTTCCCCGATAGGGCCTTAACCACCTGGCTTTCTGGGAGGAGCCAGGCCTGAACCAGCCCACTCTAGGTGAAAACACACCCAGAAGGGTTGCCCACTGCCACCACCTCTGACTCAAGCTCGTGTGATCTCCACAGTTTATTACATTCTAGTCTCTTCCTTCAAAGAAGAGCTAACACGGGGCCCACCTGAAAGGATCGGAGGAGGGCTGTGAGGGCCCTGGAGGCCAGATAGGGGGCCAAGTCGGCTACCTCCATCTTCTGGAACCCAGCAGTGCACTGAGGCAGCACAGGGGCGTGTGTGATCCTCCCCCAGAGCCCAGTCTTACTGGGGCAGTGGGAAAACCCATGAGCTGTTAGCAACCTGGACACTGATGGGAGACCAAGTCCAAATGCCTCCGCGCCCCCGTGGGCTCAGGACTGGGCAGGGTGGGAAGCCTGGCTCCCAGGTTCCAGGGTTCTGGCCAGAAGGACAGAAGAGGTCCCAGGAGCAGGCAGGGGAGAGGTCCAGAGACCACGGTGACTCGTCTCAGTGACACAGTGCTGTCGAAGTGTTTTATTATCACTGTTCTGTTCGGTCCACTCCGGACGCCAGGTGGGAGATGACAGTTTAGAAGCTGAGAAGGGAGACTCCTAGAGCTGCCTCAGCCTGTGGTGGGGAGGGCCTGGCCACTGCCCTGCAAAGGGGGCCTGGGGACTGCAGTGGGGGCTCTATGGGTGGGTCACAGGCAGTCAGGCCAGGCCTCCTAGCAGGGCAGGGAGAGCAGAGGCAGAGTAAGCAGATGCCACTCTAGCTGCCTGGAGGGCTCGGCACCGGGGTTGGTTGGCTCCCCTCTATCCCCCTGAGGCCCAGTCCTGGGAACCTGGCCATGAGACAGTGATGAGGATGTAGTCGGGGACGAGGGGCTGCAGGCTGAGGACAGGAGGGATGGCAGGGTGAAGGGTGGACCAGAGGTGCCCGAGTGGGGGCCGTCTGCCCACACGAGGACACACACATAGGAGAGGAGAGGTGGCGAGTTAGATACGGGCAGTTTCAGGGAAGCCGTAGTGTTAGGCCGGCGTGCGCCCAGCAGGTCAGTCGAAGGAAATGAGTTGAGCCTCGCTCCCCTGGACCGGCAGCCCCTGTGCCGGCAGCTGCTGTGCCACGGGTGGGGGCTGCTGTGGGGGCCCCGCAGTGGGCGCCATCTTTAGGAGATACCAGATGCTGGGTCTCCCTCCCCAGCCCAGCCACCACCCTCATCCCACCTCCTGACGCTCCAGCCTGGCGTGGCCACTGCTGTGAGGGAGGGGCCCTGGTTCCTCCTCCCAGGGGGGTGCACTGCCCTGTCCCTGGGGCAGGCTGAGCACGCAGCTGTGTGCTGGAGGTAGGGGTCCTCTGCCAACCAATAGTGGCATGCACTTTCCTGCCCCCTGGCTTTCCCCAGATACGTAGTTTCTAGTTACAGGCATACACGTGTGCACATACATGCTCATGCGTGCACACTCACACACACACACACACACACACATTTCCCGGTTCCGTCAGCCCAGACGCAAGTCCCTGCCTGCCCTGTACCCCGTTTTCCCCAGGACCCCACTGAGAAGGGGCTAGTGGGATGAGGGGATATTCCCAGAGCTGGAGGCCCCCCAGAGCCCTGTGCGAGGTGCTCACCTGCTGGTATACAGGCTGCTGCCCTGAGAGGTAGGGCTGCTGGGGGGGCAGAGGCGTGTCCTGGCTGGGGAGGGTGGTCATGAGGTTCTGGGGAGAGGAAATGCATGTGACACTCAGAGGAGCCGCGAGTGGACAGAAGGGGTGCTTGGTTGTGTCACCCCTGGACATCATCCCCGTAGCTAGATGGGCCCCCCTCTACCTGGGGGAGCCTCATGGCCTCACCTGCATGCTGTAGGGCTGATACCCGACAGACACTGACTGACTCCCCATGTAGCCCACGGTCCCAGGCTGCGGTGGCGGCTGGGGCAGGGTCGGGAGGCTCTGTGGGGCCTGCGAGGCCATGCCCTGCAGGGGAGGGGACGGTGAAAAGGGGCACGGCCTGGGTGTGGCCAGAGCGGCAGCCCCTCACCTGCTCACCTGGTAGGCCTGTGTAGGCGTGGGCTGGTAGGATGAGTAGGCTGGGCTGGCGGCGGGCCCTGCCTGGCCTGGGGGTGTGGCCTGCCCACCTGCAGCCCCTGCCGGGAACATGTAGGCGCTCACCATGCTGGGATCTGTGGGGGAGGAGGCCAATGAGACAGCCTCCGGCTGGGGGGCTGGGGAATGGGGAGGGATCCCTGGATGGAGAGAAATGGAAGGAAATGGGCCAAACCCCATTCCAGGAACGACAGTGGCACACTGGTGGGGCCCAACGCCAGCACCCGACCGCATGCAGGCTGCCAGGCTGCAGACAAGACGACCCTGACGCGACAACCAGACCCCGTGAGCAGGTGCTCTCTTCGCGGTGGCCTGGGCTCACGTCTGCGCGCTCGAGGGAAGAACGAGTGAACATGTCTGTGGAGGAGCAGCTGGCCCCCCTGGCAGGTTGTGTCTGCAGACACGTGCTTCCCACCTCCACGGCTGAGTACCTAGCAGGCAGAGCCACCAGACCAGGCCTTGTGTCAGCCTACATATCAGCCTACATATCTCTAGGCTCCGTGGAGAAATGGCCATGCCCAGGGCCAAGAAAGCTCCAGGAGACACAGGAGGTAGACAGGTCGAAGGGACACAGGCCTGGTGTGGGGGTCGCACAGCCTCCCTCGGGGGCGTTGGCTCACCTGCATCAACTACTGCAGCCAAGTAGCACAAGCTTCCGGACAAGGTAAGACCCCGTGAGCCCGTGAGGCAGACGTCAGACACAAGAAAGACCATGAGCCAGACATCAGACAAGGGAGGCCCTGTGAGCCCATGAGCCAGGTGTCAGACACAAGGGAGACCCTGTGAGGCAGACGTCAGACACAAGGGACATCCCGTGAGCCCGTGAGGCAGATGGCAAACACGAGGAAGACCCCATGAGGAAGAGGAAGACATCAGACACGAGGGAGACCTTGTGAACCCATGAGCAGGCGTCAGACATAAGACTCCGGGAGCCTGTGAGACAGACATTGGACAAGACCCCATGAGCCTCTGAGGCAGATGTCAGACACAAGGGAGATGGGTTTCCTCACGGGGAAGACCTCCATGCACAGAAGCCATGGGGGGAAGTCAGAGGCGTGCCAGGGCATGTGCAGTGTCTAAAGTCCCCCAAGGCATCTGTTCATTACAAAGAACAGTCACTTCACAGCAAAGAAACACCAGACACCACCTAAAGCACATGGCCACTGTTACTGTCACCAACAACTGGACAAAGAGACACTCAGACACAGCATGGCTCTCCTGCCCACGAGCCAACCCCAGACAGGCCTGTTGTGGATTGAACTGTGTCCCCAAACACCACGTGCTGTGAACGCTCAGCTCTCTGCCAGGGATGGAATCCCCTCTGGGACTGGGGGTCTCTGCTGTGCTGAGGCAGGGTTAGCAGGGCAGTGTCTGATGTCACTCTCCTCTGAGGTGGAAGGGGATGAAGGAGCGAGCAGAGATGGGGAAGAGGTGACAAGAGTGGCAGCTCCGAGACACAGGGAAGGACCCTCCTCCACAGTCGACACTAGGGGAGCCTTCCTCAGCAGCCAGCACCCTCCCTCAGGGCTTCCAGGCTCCTACCAGCGAAAACCAAGCTCTGTACGTTAAAGCCCCGACCCCCACCCAGCCTGAGGTATTTCTTACAGCAGCAGACAGTGGAGACAAGGCTGATCCTGATCTGGTCACCGTCCTGAGGCTGAGTGACTGACTTGTGTTAGGAAACTCACACTCAGTGCTCAGAGGCAAGGCAAGTCGAGTCTGCACCTCGACTTGCAGACGTGAGTGTGTAGGGTGTGCGCACACGTGTGTGTGCATGTGTGTATGTGTGTACGTGTGAGTACATCTATGGAAAAAAAGATGACAATGAACCCACGCAGTACAACATCAACATCAGGGCACTCTAGGAAACTCTCTACTGTTCTTGTGACTTTTCTGTAAATCTGAAAGCACGTCACAATAGAAACAAACAAGAAAGAAGGGTGTATCCCTCGTTACCTGCTCCTGCCACAGGCATGCTGGGGTAGGGGCCGCCGGACTGGGCGGGCTGGTTCATGTATACTGTGTGCATGGGGGAGCCTTCCACGGAGCCTGCTGGGCTGAAGGTGCCGGGGAAGCTGGTGGGGCCTGAGGGCTGGTAGATGACACCCCCAGCCGTGGGCATGGCCTGGAGCTGAGGACAGAGATGTGGCTGTCAGTCCCAGCCTCAGCAGGGTCCCAGGTGGGGGGTGGGCGACAGGGCAGGTATGTGCCTGGGAGTAGGCTTGGGGTGGGGGACAGGGCAGGTGCATGCCTGGGTGGTGGGCAGGGGGAATTTGGGTGTCTGGGAGAATGGGCAGGTGCTTGCTGGATGTCAAGCTGAGGTGGGGAGAGGGTGGGTGCGTACTTGGGTGTAGGGCAGGGGGAAGGCTGGCATCTGGGTATCAGGCAGGCGGACAGGGCGGGTGCATGCCTGGGCGTAGGGCAGGGGGACGGGGCAGGCAGGGTGCCTGGGC